CCCCCTCCCCCTCCCCCTCCCCCCGGGCGCCCCGCTCAGCCCGCTCCCCCAGGGCTGCTTCGACGAGGGCACACAGCGCAAGGTCCACGTGCTCGGCGCGGATCCGGGCCCAACCCTCCGGACCCTCATCGACGCCCGCGACCTGCCCAAGCCCTACGGCGGCGAGCTCGAGTGGACGTTCGACGACGAGCCCGCCCTCGACGATGCCGCCAGGGGCGTTATCGGAGACATGCCCAAGGGTCCTGCCGTCTTTCTCGACGGCTGCGTTCAGAAGCCCGCCGCTCCCGGCGAGAAGGAGCAGCCGAGCGACCCCTGAGGGGCGGGAGTTTGAATTTTATTCGCGGACAGCATGTCTCTACTACTAGAACATACGCTACCGGGTATAACCACATTGCGCGGACCAAGAATGAACAAGAAGCAATAATGATAACAGAATGGTGGCACAGAATGCGTTTGCGTCAGTCACCGTCATGTGAGATCGTCCTCGGGCTCAGCAGTCAGCCCGTCTTCGTACCAGATTTCGAGAAACTGCATCGCGCGCGTCAGTACGCGCGGCACGGACTCATTCACGGGAGTGCTTACCCTTGTGCGCTGTGCGTCAAGGTCGGCGCTCGTGAGCAGTGGCGCGGCCGCGAACGGCAGACGATCCCATGATATGGGCTGCTCGTTCCTCCGCGTCGCCGGCCTATCGCCCACCGCGCTCTTCTTCCCCACGACCCACTTTGCGCATTTCCTATCGAACTGTCAGCGATCGTTCGCAATAGCCACCATGGGTAAACGCGCACTCTTCCGAGATGCCGTACAGCGCCTTGAGATGCGCCTTGAGCAGCACGATCATCGCCACCACTACCGAGGTCCGCATCAGCGGAAGCCGCTCCTCCACATCGCCTGTCAGCGCGTCAGTGTGGCATTCCGCGCAGTGGAACGCGAGTAGCACTCACCAGGGGGAGATACCACGACAGGGGCCTTCCGGCACACTCAAGATCAGTAACAGAACCGTCCAGACATCAATAGACGCACCAGAGCCTGCTCCTGGGCGTTCCCTTCTGATGGCGCGTGCAGCTGAGTCAGGAGATGTTGCGGGGACAGCGTCTCGACCAGCTGCATCCCTGTTGTCGAGAGCACCCCCGTCAGGTACTTGAGCACCGTCAGCACCTCCTCTTGCGTCTTGTACTCGAACGTAGAAAAGTTCTCTGCCATATACCGGATAAAGTCCACGTCATCCTGTCACGTAGCAATGCTCAGTCGTCCGAATACCAGCCTCGTTTAGCTACACACCTGCGTCGACTGTGCATTTAATTCAATGTCAAATACCTTCACCAGGGCTTTGAGAAAATCCTGCCGCGTGGCCCGTTTTTCTCGGACAAGCCCATACCACCGCTGCAGTAACGCCGTCGGTGCAGCCGGGTTGCGATACCCTGCCCCCATCTCAGACTTTGGAGCGGCCGGGAACACGAGATGGAACGCACCTTGGACCTTGCCAGGGAGAAGGCGCTTCTGGTAGTCAAACGACGCACGCGCGCTCACGACGTAGCGAGCATTGAGCAGCGAGGTGTGCTTGCTGTGCAGAATCGAATGCAGCGCACTTGCACGCGTGCTCAGCGACGAGTTTGGGCTGGTTTCCAGCGCGACGATGACTGGGAAAGACTGTTTGGCATCAGCTACTGCCGCTGTCTCTGACCAAAAGCAACATACCTGCAAGGGGTGCGCAAGGCCTTGTTTGATTGTAAAGCTCAGAATGTCGACGGCGGCAGCTTGGGTTTGCGGATTAGGCGCCAATGCAGCCTGTACAATGGGATCAAGATAGCGCTGGACGACAGCCGAGCTGACTCTGCGTCATTTCTAACGTCAAAAATCCCCGAGTGCAGTCGAATCGACCAGTTCCCTCACCCTGATTCAGCAAATCCGTCGGTGTTGCCTACAAGTTCATCCATGTTCACGTCGCCGATGGCGCCCTTCAGCTTTGCGCTCGCTATAAATGACATTGAGTACCATGATCACAATCAAACTGCACGTCATATTCGACCTTTTTCTTTCGCTGCATGTTTCGCTGCTTCAGACATGAGGAATTCCTGCATAATCTTGAGCAGTCGACCACGAGCCTCTTCCTCAGGCGACGCGAAAATAGCATCCATGATATTTGCCGATGCATCCGTCGTCATCAGAGCAGGCTGTGCACGGAAGAGGAAACCTAGATGGCCAACAGCGATGAGCATCAAGTATCTGACAGCACTGATTGTCACATACCGAGACATTGCAATATACGGCCTCTGAGTCCAGCATCGCCATACTTGTTATATAGGCTCAACAAGCTCCAATATACGTGTTCAATTATTGACCCCTGTAAGTTAATTTGAGATGGCCCCTTGAAGCACAGATTTCTGTACGACATACCTTGGTGATGCTGTCGATCTCGGCACGGAGGGCTGTATCAAAGAGTTACCTTGTAATCCATCGATACCAGTCAAATGACATACTCTCATGTTCTATCCTGATCTGATCGAATTTGGAGTGTTCGCACAATAGTGATATAATGAAGAGGAGGATGGACAATGCCCGCTGCTCAGGGGCAGTCATTGTTGTCGAAGATTTACTGATTGCTTGCTGCAGACGCGCTAAAACCAAGATGACTCAAGGTTCCCTAGGGGAGAACATGGTCCTTACCGTTACAGGACCTCAGTAAGGCCACTAAACGGCCGAAATCGTGCGTGATGTGCTGAACGATGGCACACATGCATGCAACCGTCTCTTGAAGACCCTACGTGTTTGTTCGGTCAGTGACTGCTGAACGCCCGGAGTGGATACGCCTACCAATAGTCCAGCTGAGGCTGAAGGTTTAATGATCATTGGCTGCAGCGCAAGCTGGAGCTCTTGGCCGAACTTTGCTGCCGTCTTGGGCATGTAAGGAATTGATGCTCTGAATATTCGTAGCAAATAATCGGAGGTGATCTGCTCTTCCATCTGTCACACAGGGCGTCAGTCACAGCACGACTAAATGCGCTATTGTTCATACCGAAGTTGCGTTCTTTAGATATGGCAGCAATGTTGATGCATTGGCCCCCGATAGCACCGCTGGATAGGCAGAAGTGAACAGATGAATTGTCCGCACGCAGTTGACGACAGTCTGAAACTACTGTAAATATCATGTCAGGGATAGATAGCTAGAACGACGCACGAAACCAGGTAGGTCGGTAGCATCTACTAGTCCTTCGATCAGCGTTTCGCATATTTCAGCGTATCGCTCATGTAGACCGGATGCATCAGGGCCTTCCTTGTCAGCCATGATGTGATGCAACAAATCTTCCAAAGGAGATTGTCGGTCTTTAAAATGACCTGCAACGCCCATAATGATGGTCACTTTGGACAGTAGCTGTGGTTTGTCACTAATCATGGCGGTATTCCTGCCCCTCAATACTGTTGCCAGGGCGGATTGAAACCACAGTTCTTCCATCGTCTTGATAGCCAAATCCTTGACGGTGTCATCTTCATCTAGCATTCGGAGTACAATTCGGGTGCATATGTCAATACGTCGCATTCTATCATCAGTCACTGTGTAGTATGACTTAAGTAATTTGATCACTCGTTTCCGGACACCCAGTCCAGTGTCCTGTTGGCCAATCAGTCAAAATTTGAAGTCATTATCTGAATCATACTAACCGCAATGCGCTCTGCGATTTTGGGGAAATAGTCCGCCGCAAATTTGGGAGAATCAATCATATACTTTCCGATCAATTCAACGGCAGCGTCGCGAACGGCAGAAGAACTATCCAAGAGATGATTCTCAATCGCCCTGCGCACGTTGTGCTGTGAGGAACATCATCAGGTCTGACCGACACACCGCCAAACTTACTCACAGTCGATAAGATACTTGGGTCGCTTGTAACTATTTGACCTAAAGCTTTCAGTGCCTTTGTACGCATGAAAACAGGAGGCGCATCGAGTGACTGTAGCACCACATTGAGAATGGGAATAAACGAGTTCTTGAAGCTTTGGATGGTCCCGATTTCCTCCGACAGTCGATCAATCCGCACAACTTCATCCTGGGAAGTCCTTAGAATGTAATCAACACAACTGCCAGTACCATGAAAAGCCTCGCATACCCAACATCAAAAACATCAGCTGATGAATCATCCCAAATCCGTCGAAGAGCCTTTTTCACCTGTTGACCGAAAGGGAGCACCATACTACGATCAACTTTAGCATCCAAATGTTCTCCTGATTCCGTAATTATGCCCCCGCATTGTTGCAGTGCAAAAACGAGCTCTTGACCCCAGATGACGGCCGTTAGTTCACGAGCACTCTATCCGTGTCGTGTTCATATGGTTACGCTGAGCACATATATAAAACAGACACACATTGAAAGCCTGATCTTCTCCGGCACGTCTTGATAAATGAGCGGCAAGGTCTTGGTGCGCATAAACCAAGCCCTCCAATTCCGTCATGTCAACAACCGACATAATCTAATGATCTCATTGTCATGACATAGGTAATATGAAAATGCAAGATTCTGACCTCATCTAACGATTTAAGCCGCTTATTGGGATCACCATGATCTGACTGGAATTTAAGCGTTGCTGATCGTAAGCGCGCTGCAATGACCCCTAGATGGTCAAGCGCTATAGTTTTGATAGCGTTATTGTCACCCTGGGTTGTTGACTTCACGTCGTCGAGCGAGGAAACCTATGGGGAAGTGTGAGCGCATGCGGAAATCGCTACGAAGGACTGACCATGAACTTGCAGATTATACTTAGGAGAAGACTTGCCGCAGGCCACTCTGGCCAGAAGAGCACGGTAAGCAAATCAGAGACGAGACTATCCAGAATAGCACGGTATTCTGCTTCATTAGCATTCTTGGTGACTTTGCTCTTGCCGGATCTGGAAGCAGGATTAAGCACACTCGCAAGCACACTCGCAAGCACGCCTACCGTTGAGTAAGGAATATAATGATCGTTTTGGCCGCTTTCGTTGCAGAATCTAACCCGGACATATACAAGCGAATCTCCTACAGTCCAGGAGATGAGATGAGACGCGTCTAAATATTGCTGCGATCTTACCTCGAGATCCTTCTCGTCAAGGAACGGCCCTCCTTGCTTGTCACCAAAAGAGCTTTGACGGCGGATTGCAAGAGCCTGGTCGCGCGCCTTTCTCAGCGAGCGAGCCTCCACACGAACGTCATGAGCTGACGTCTGCACTAGCTGGAGAAGCAAAGCGGAGACGGTGCGAATTGAGCGCCCATCACGAAGACTAGAACATGGTGTATAAACACAATGGTTTGTAATACACACAAAGACTTACCGGAACTGGCCCACTCTCTGCTTATTGTCAGAGAGCCTGATCAAGGACGATAATATCTCCTCAATAATCCATCCCCGCTGTTCCTCATGGTTGGCAAATATCTACAGCGAAGTTAGTCCAGAATGATTCCCCTGAGCAGCTCACTCACATTTCTAATCAGCGCAAGGGCGTCAAGTCTCAGCCCTCTCAATGCACTGCTTCCCAGAGTGTTCAGAACAGCATTGTCTTTCTTACCCTTACCTTCGCTTTCGCCTCCAACTTCAACGACAAAGAATGGACCAATGGCGATATATACAGCCTGGATGATTATAGTTTCGGACATTGTGTGTTTATCGGTACAGATTAGATCGTTTATGCGGGGAATGGCGGAAGATATGGCTTGGAATAGCTCAGCCAACTGCCGTCGATGATTGCTGTCGCGAGACGAAGGGTGGATGACATGACGCAGAAGAGGCGGTTGATTATGAAGATCATTGGGAGCTTCGACGAAAGGATAGACAATCTTCGTCAGCTGATTTTTAACGGTATTCAGACAAACGGTGATGAGTTCCTCAGAGTATAACTAGAACAAGCACATTGAATGTGGATATGATCAACATAAGATCGTGCAGATGTGGACACACCTGCTTGGGTAACCTATCGCTGCTCAATACTGCAATGCAGCAATCCGCCGCCAGAACACTTTCCATGGCAATATCAAGCTGTCGAGTTAACGCGTCAAGATCTGAGTCAGCTAACTCTTGCATGCTGGTCTGCTCATCATCAATACTACGCATATTATCGTCCGCGGAAGCAACATCCCCGGCTGGTTTTGGTGTCTGGGACGTAGCTCGTTTCACATCGCCTTCTGTGCTCTTCTTATTGTTTTTGCCACCTTTCTTCAACCCGCCTCGGTCTCTTCCAGGTTCCAGCAAATTAGATATACCCAATATACCGGAGCCAAATGGGTCAAGGTCTTGTCCAGCTTTCGCGCTCCGGTCGAGTATTTTGAGTATTCTCGACAAGACGGTCATGTCAAGGTCTGCCATACCGCCTCGCGATCGTGGAGTGACCCCGCCTATATTACTCTCACGTGAGGAGAGCCTTAGTCGTTTACTCGGGCGAGCAACTTTGGTGATATAATTGCATAATTTGCGAATGACGCCTGAGTTGAGATGGGGGTGCGCGCCTTCAATGGTGTGAGGTGAGAAAAATTCTGACGGTAAATGGCCCACGCTCGCATCTGCGGGTAACGCGTCCTCTGCTTCGAAAATATCTTCGAGCAACGTCGTAAACTTCTCGATGGGAGCTATTATGGGGGATTTGTTCAGTCTTACGCCACACGAAACGAAACCCATCTTTACCTCTATCGTCCCGTTCCCCAGTAGCCCTTCTACCTGATGATTTCACACTTCGGCCCAGTCCAGAGCTTTGACTCATAGGTGGACCTTCATCTTCCTCAGTTCCAAACCCACCAAGATCTTCGTCTTCGACAGCCCTTCCTTTGCCTTTGTTTCTGCTAATTCCGTTCGTAAGCGGCGTGTGAGATTCCAAGTGGCTGTGTCTCCGAGATGTTGGAGTGTGATAAAGTTGAGGCAGAGGAGGTACATCGATAAATGGTTCCAACTTCTTCTTAGGAGTCGGGCTACCTTGAGATTTTGCAGGTGAGCTGCCCAATGTGCTGCGACCAGCCTTCGATGACTGCGACTGAAAAAGTTGTGATGACGACCCGTTCACGACCTGTCTTCGTTTGAGAGTTGGGGATTCCAGTGCTACTGCTACCTTTCGCTTTCGCGATGTCTGAGTAATGCGGACAGATCTCTGAGGACTCAACGAAGGAAGAGCCAACGGGTCAGGGCTCTCTTCGACTTTTGTAGGAGCTTGTGGGCGATGCGGCGTCGATTGTGGGTTGACCGTGACGTTAGACGACGACATTTCTGTACTCGAACGCGCTAGAAAGTCGTCAAAGAACTTCTTCGACTCATTTGGTCTGTGGGCTGTTTTCGCAGGCTTTGGAATAGGATCTCCAAGAGCATGTGCAAGCGATGAAAAAGAGGTGCTAATACTCGCAGGTGGGGGCGTAGGATATGAGGTGGATGGAGATGAGTACTGAAATACAGACTGTGCAAATGGGGTGGTCTGGTACGCGCTTGAGCTTGTGTACGATTGCGGCCAAAGGGTTGAAGGTTGATAATATGAGTAGTCGCTGCAACTGCAAATGCTATAAGTTCACTCAAAACAGGACTAAAGGATTAACCAACTATTCCTGCTCTCCTAGATATCTAACTGCATCATTCCGTGCGGACTCCCAATAGCCTCCGTCATAGGTAGGAACAGAAGAAGAAGCAAGGTGGTTCAACTCTGCAGCATACTCCCCAGATACAGGGAAATGAGCTTGAGGGTATGAAGGAACAGAGGCAGAAGGAGGGTATGCTTGCAGATACGACGGCGCAGCAGCTGAAATAGACAAGTTGCTTAAATGTCTCGCGACTAGAGAAAAATCAGTAACTCTATGCGCTCGAAAATCGGGCATATGCATACCGTGCGTAGTAGGGGTGGCAGAGGCGAAGGGGTACACGGCGAGCAGCCCGTGCCCATCTTGTACAGCATCAGAGGTCACCCTAGCCACAGGGGTCGATGGAGACGAGTACTGCTGGTGATACCTGCTCGACTGAGGAGGATACCAATGGTTGGCGTTCATGGCCGCAAGCTCATGGAGGTTGGACCAAATCAGTACAGACGCGCTTCCCGACGCGCCGTCACAGGCCACACACAGCAGCGCGAGCGCGACTGGCTGCTGTCCGTCACAGCAAGTCACAGGGGATTCTTGTGACATGTCTCAGGAAGGCAGCAAGTCCGAAATGTCCTCGACTCTCGAGCCAATTGCGTCGATGACAAGCTAGAAGTTCAGATCCAAAATTTGGCCAGATTCCACTGGTTGGGCTCAGCCAAACCAGCCACTTATCCGAAGAGAAAACGCTTCACTAAGAGGGAGAGAGGAGGAAGACGGGGGACTGGCGGGGAGGGGTGGTCGAAGGGGCGCGGGGTGGAGGGGTCATTCATTTGAATCCTAAATATCACATAACAATCCTCCAAACTTCTCGTCGACATCCTCAAAAATCAGGATACATAACTATATGTACATATTACCATGTCGCGGCATACATAGTACAGGTCATAAGGTAAGACCAGTTGCACAGGATATCCCAGACTACGATGAGTGTGTGTGATTGAGGACTGGGACTTCGGCAATGAATTTCCGAGGTACGGATGATACACCGCGGGCGTATATATGACTCGTGTATACCTGTTTTCCATGATTACTCCAGACCGCGACTTGACAATAGAACTTACCAATTCATCGTAGATAATAGCCGGAACTTTTTTGTCACACAGAGATGAGGAAGGATGAACTTTGACAACCTGAGGGAAATATAACTCAGACTCCCGATCTATGAAACATAATATGCTTACCGATGGACCCATAAGTTGTTTGTACGATCCGTCAGGCTGTAGAAAAGCAGCGTGTTGAATGAGTCCGCGTACCAGACTCTTCAGCACAGCTTGATCGTCAGCTCCGCACGAACTATGCCAATCAATTTGCATACGCTCGCAGACGTCACGCAGCTGGCTTCGAATATCCATCGCCTCGACAAGACATCGATCATTCACATACTGCTTCCTGCACCACTCCCGCCGATTAACCTTACTCTCCGAAACCGCAATTTCTAGATACGACCTAACGACATGCAAAGTCGTCATGTGGTCTCCGCTTGGATGCCTGAATTTCTGCCGCGCCTCTGAAGCGACTTCGCGCTCATCAGCCAGATCAAAAAACAGCTTGGATGAAGCTGACAACACTGAGAGAATATCGATGATTTCGAGAGTGCAACCAAACTCTTTAGATGCGATGAGAGCGCGAGCAAGATCGGGCTCAAGGGGAAATGTTGCTATGTCTCTGCCAAGGGGAGTTAACCGTTTTTGGCTGTCAATAGCACCCAAGAGGAACAGCGTCTTTAGCGCCGCTCCAACTAGCAAATTAACATCAATCAACAACACTCGATGCGGCTTGGTGAACACCCACTAGCTTCCTGGTCTGGTTTATCCATAAAATCCAATTGCTCTAGGTCTTGGCCGAGACATTTGAGCTGCAGCAGACTCGACGTCAACGAGCAACGCCGTATCTCGGGCTCAGCGGAATCAGGCATGGTCTTGAATGATTCTTCTGTGTAAAGACGGAAACACATCCCGCTGCCCTGTTCACAATTGTCGATTGATCAATCATGTCCAGCAAAACGCCTAACGGGATTACCTCTCGACCCGCACGACCCGCGCGCTGCATGGCAGACGATTTTGTGATATCTCGTGTCAGTAAAGTGTCAAAGCCTGTTACGGATCGAGAGGCGACACTGAATACCATAATATCGCACTGTGAAGGAAGGCATGCAAACCCTCACCTGCTCCAGTTTCGCGCGCGACATAGCGCTTCTCTTTACACTTACCAGTATCAATTACATACTTTATGCCAGGGATCGTGATGGAAGTCTCAGCAATGTTGGTGGCTAGAATGCACTTCCTCGTGCCAGGTGGCGCTGGGGCGAAAATTTTGGATTGTTGTTTAGGAGGTAATGCGGCATACATAGGATACAAGGCGATCTGAGGGAATTAGCTGAAATTTCATTCCTAAACGATAGATAATTCCACGTACCCCTTCACATCCTTTTGGTAACCTATCGGCGTACATTTTCAGCGACTTTTCCAGACTTTCGATATCTTCTTGCCCTGCAATAAGGTCAAATGGTAGTCGGGTCAGTATTATATTTAGCCTACCTGGAAGAAAGATCAGGATATCTCCTGGATCCATGTCCGTATGGATTTGGAAAACAGTCCGCACAGCGGCATCGACGTAGTCAGGTTGACTGACAGCCGTATGGCATATTGTAACAGGGTGCTGACGACCTTTGACATAGACGACTTTGGCGCTGCATGCAATGGAAGTCAGGCTATGTAGAATCAAAGTAACACACGATGCACTGACTTGTCAAAAAAATGGCTGAACTTGTCGGCATCCAGAGTAGCACTCATAACTACAACCTTAAACGGGGTCCACCGCGCTGTCGTTGCTTTGCCTTTGGAGTCCGCAGTCGCGTTCCTGACTCTGAGAATGTTCTTGAGGTTGGCAATGAGCAAATCGGTGCGAAGAGTTCGCTCGTGCGCCTCATCAATAATGATAACACTGTATTTGGTGAGGAAGGGATCACCAAGCATCTCACGGACAAGCATGCCGTCAGTAACATATTTGATGCGCGTTTGTGGGGAATGCGCTTCGTTGAAGCGGACAGAATAACCAACCAGACCACCAACGGGGACACGTTGTTCTGCAGCGACTCTTGCAGCCAATGAAGTAGCAGCCACTTTGCGCGGTTGAGTGACTGCAATTATGCCTTGTCCGGAGATTCCAGATTCTAGCAAATACTGCGGGACCTCTAGAAATTATTTTAGTTTACTGCACAGCCTTTACAACGGCGAAAATTACGTGTTGTTTTCCCCGAACCGGTTTCGCCGATAAGAATTGTTACGTTATTCGACTTGATTTCATTTACGATGGCATCCTTGCCTTTGAAGCACGTTAGGTGCCTATAAAAGAGGACGAGACATGGGACTGACCTGAGGCTATGGGAAGACTGTTCCTTTGCTCCAATATCGAGGTAACAACGTTGCCTGCGGTACTTGGTTTAACCTTCGTCCATGAACCTGACCCAACAGGCAAGGGAGAAAAGGTTTTGGGGCCTTTTGGGCCTTTGATTTGAGCCTTCCTGGAGCGCTTTACGCTCAGGTCGTCATCAGACACGTCTGCCCACGTGTGGTCACGCCTGTTCGTTCTTCGTTGGCGAGAACTAGAATGCTTGTGCGGACGGGAGATACCCTTGAGTGCGGCAATTTTTGTCATGTACGAATGTGTTCTAAGATTGGGGACTTGGTCGATTGTGGTTCGTGCGAAATATTGGGAGGTCAAGGGAAACTACAGACAGCATGAGCAAGAAGTGGTATGGAGTTACGAGACAGAAGTAAAAAGTGAACCGGTCGGCAGTTCCCATTCGCCTCGACTCTCTGAGGCGGCATGACCAGTAAGAAGCGCTGGATATCCTCGGGCTCGATTAGAGGTAGTCCTAACCGCGGTGCTTTGGTGTCCGCTGCTCCGAGTCCTTGTCGAGCCGCATCAGCCTGCTCATCGTCCGCTTACCCGGCTAGCTTTCGCCGGGTGCATTGTTGGGGAACAGCACACTAGCAACCACAACGTCGGCATCTGTCTACTTCCGAGCCGACTGACTTATAGCGCGGGATGACTCTCAGCGGTAACGACGACTCGCTCTCCACTCTCTTTTCTTCTACTTCGTATGCTCTCGCCTACACGCTGCCTCTGATTCTTGTATCCGTACTGCTGACTTTTGCTGGAGCTTTCCTCACTCTCGATCGCACGCGCGCCTTCCCCTCGACTCGGACTTCATCTAGCTACGACACGCTCAAGCCGTCCCCGCAGTTCGATGTTAATGTCAAAGTTGCACAGAACTCAGTTGGGTCGTTTTTTCTTCTTGAAGGAGGAATCGGAGGGCTTGCGTCAGGCTATGTATTTGGAGGTCTGCGTTAGTATGTCTCCTCAGACATGCCTCAACTAACTTTTGTCCATCGTTCTAGTGCACTTTGCTACTTTTCTGTCGTTGCTCATCCCAGAAGCTACCACTTCGGCTCCTCTGAATTCAAAGTCGTTTCTAGCCGTTTGGGTTCTCTCTGCAGTCTGTTGTGCTCTTCTGGCGGGTAGGTGGTGTTGGCTTGCATTCTTTTTCCAGGGCTCTGTTGGATTGTACGTCCATGAATTGTCAATGTTATAGCTACGAATTGATAAAAGTCTGCATTTTAGTTCCGTACTTGCGCTGGCCATTTCCGTGATGCTACACCCGTCGCTCCTTTTCCGCATTGTCCTGACGTCAATCCTGCTTCCAATTGGTTCTATCGCTGCGATACTTCCCCTCTCGCGGTATCAACATGTTTTTATCCGATTCTCCACATCGTCCATGGGTGCCTTTGGGATCGTAATCTCAGTGGCTTTACTAGCAGGTGTTGCTGCATGGAGCGACGTCTGGGAGCGTCTCTGGACCAGCAGCAGTGCGGATTGGGGGACGAGCGCGGAGAAGGGTTTGAGTACTCTCTATTGCGTTTTGCTATTGGCCGGCACAGCCTGTAACTGGTTTCTAAGACATAAATTTGGGGACAACCCGGATGAGGTATGTCCTTAGCTTCCGGAGCTCTCGCCATGTTCGAGCTGATGTATATTGTACATGTGCGAAGGAGTGGAATGCTTATCTGGCCAACTATGCTGCCAATTTGCCTGATGTTGTCGATCGTGCCGGCAGATTTGCTCCTTTGCCGTCTTTATGGTCCAGGCTGTTTGGATCACTTAGCGTATCGTCGACTTCCCGCTCAAACGAATTTCTGCGTGTAGGTGCAGCTACAACACCGCCTATGCCCTTTTGGCGCACGGTATACCGGCCCTCTCGCCAGGCTGTGAAATTCACCCTGAACACCGATCAATTACTGGGCTCCGAAGGCAATAACGACATAGGTTACATGAAGCTTGTGGATCCAGTAGCAAATTCTATGCTACTTCTTCAATCCCAATCTCATGACACCCATCTGTCAAATAACTCCAATACTTCGTTGCAGATTACCCGTGATCGTTCACTTGTTAATCCTGAAATTTATGAAGAGGACTCTGGGTTCTGTACCTCCAGTCTTGAAAAGGCGGATGCGCAAGCTGCGCTTGATTGCTTTTCTGACGGCGCTACCCTCACTGGTTCCACTGACCGAGCTCAGCGTGACACCCTTTTGTGGAGCCCCGCATTTCTCCGAAATCATTCTTCTATCTCTTCAGATTCCTTTATCCACGAATGGCCTTTGCACAAATGGATCGAACGACATGCGTCGCCTGTCCCTGCATCCCCCTGCCGCCCTGTGTTTGCGCCTGTTCCCGCCACCCCGTCCTTACTCCAAGCCGTGGATCGTTTGTCAGCGGCCCAGCATGCGGCATACAAGCCATCCCCGACATTGGGTGCACATCTTCCTAATATGCCTCACCTCGCTGACAATGAAGCAGATTCTCGGCTTCGGCATTGGTATACGTTTTGGCATGATATGAAGTTGCAGGCCAAACCTACTGTGCTCGGGTCCTAATTTGCTTTGCAATGAATATTCTACGATAATACGACGTTATCACGATTACTGACGACTTTTCATGACCGCGTTGTGACGCTGAGGCTGTATTTCTGGTTTACTCGTTGTAGTTTTCAAAATGTCTGTATCTCTTCTGCTTTCGGTAACGATCTCGTGTCGGCCTGTCTGTTGCATAAATTCACGGGAAGCGAGCTGCCCTGGGGCATCATATTGTTTCCATAAACCCTTGATCATAATGCATCATGCTACTAGGACAGACAAGAAATACGTAGATATAGAGAACACTACGTCCGAAGCGGCCCAGACTCATGGCCGGGAGGAGAGAATAGATATGATATACTGCATAGACCCTTATGATCGCTGCCAAAAATATAACCACGGAAAAGCTCTACATCACGATGGCGTTGGACGTGGCTTCAGTCCTGGCCTTGAAAGCGGCCTCGACATGGACTCCCTTGAATGCTGGGTAGCTACCGGATTTTCTGGCTTGTCTTGAAAGCTCAATAGATCGTATAAGGAGGCAATTTGGTCACCCTATTCTCCAACTGAGAGGTCGTTCTTAAGGCAATGCGATATGAACGTACCTTCTGCTCAAGTAAATCAATGACTTCTCGTAGATTGCCTGCTACTACGTTGCGTTTCACAACATTTGAAACTGCATCCATTAACTTATACTGATCGGCAAGCTCAATGTAGATGCTGATGTGACCACCTGGAGAGTTAGCTAAGTCATGACATTGAACGACCATTGCAGACCTTTTATAGTGTGTAAAATCATCCTCAAGCTCTCGTAGGACCCGTGTCAACACCGTCTGAGGTGGCAATCGATCATCGCTCTGCTGTATGGGCGAGCCACGGGCACGCGTCCGTGCCGCTTCGCCAGGACGGAGATGAGCACGATTGTCCTCTTCGGAACCTTCCACAAAGCCTTCGTCGACATCTGTATCTTCGGTCACGTCTGGTGGTCGATGAGCACGCCTTCGGCCAGACAGCCAGAATGGTATCCGATCTTCGTCCTGGAGCACCCCGCGGTCACTCCTGCGACGACGACGGTGGCAAACTGTACACGTCTGCGCGTTGTGCTCAGGTGCGGAGTAAAATAAACGTTCTAGGTGTGCGCCACGGATCTGAGGAAAAGGTGTCTGGTCGGCGGCAGCCTCTCTATGCGCTAATCCATTGGATTCTGAGGGTCTGTCTCCCGCGTCGGGCTCAGCAGTACCATGCAGAGGTGTTGGAGTTGTCGAACGAGAGCTGTGAGGTTCGTGATGACTCCTGTGAGATAAATCACTGGCCCTTGAGGTAACATGCGAGTGGACCGGTGATATGAAACGAGAGGACACAGCCGACCGTGAAGCTGACAATGTTGACCGTTCCACTCGTCGGTCTTGGATGTCCACAGAGATACGATCTAATTCCTCGCCGTCTAGGAAAGGTTTAGTACTTAGATCATCTATTGGCTGAGATGAACCAATCGTAGCATGGTCTGTCCGCATCGTTCCATCCGCCAGTCCAGCGTGACGGCGAGGGGAAGGTGTTGGGGATCGAGGATCTGAAACTTCAGAAACTACGTCTTCATCATCAGATTCGCTCGTATGAATCGTTGGCTTGCTTCTGGCCAGCGAATTCACAGAGGATATATCTGGTTCGTTATCTGCGTTCGAATCACCAATCCTGCTAGTCTGATCATCTCCCGAGAGCTCGCAAGACGCCTGCTCTCGGGCAATTCGTCGTTCTTTGAGACCCTCTTCGACCACACCCTTCAGAACCTCCACTTCGCCAGCCAGTCGCTCGACTTCCTGACGTAGCTTGTCCACATCTTGGCTCTTCTCAGTCAACGCACGGGCATCCGAATCACGCATCGTCCTCAAGTCTGTGAGGAGCCGCTGATGGTCCGACAGCTCAGCGGTTAGACGTGAGAGATGGGTGCGCAAAGTCGAGATCAGGGCTTCTAAGGCTGTGACAGAATTATTGGTGTATCACTCATATCGTATGCAAGCTCACGTACCTTTCTTCTCCTCTACAGCCTCTTTATATCTACTGTCGTTTCGAAGAGCCTCTTGAGCATTCATTGACCCATCCATCTTTCTATTCCTCGAGTACCCTCTCGTAGACCTGTCCATGTCTACTAAACGTTCCCGCTCTTGTGAAAGGAGATTCGCTGCCCGTTGCGCGACCAGCTCTTCACGCTCAAGGATTTTTGTTCGTTCTCGAACTACTTCCTGCTTGCAGGCCTCGAGTTCGAGTTCCAATTCATGCACCCGCCGCCGCGAAACGCTATTCTCAGATTCAAGAAATGCCAGTTTAGACTGCACAGCATTGAGGGTAGCATACAGACGCGCTGTAAAGAGGGTTGAGTATGTTGTACGTAGGTGCCAGCGTTTTGACATCACCTTCATGATCGCTATCCCCTTTACTATGGAACCTGCGATACTCGAAACCAATTCGTGCAGGAGAGTCAACGGCACTTGTCAATCCTGTCACGTCAGGCAGGTGAATCCGAGATTTGAAGGGAGTTCTTGCTTTCGTGCCTTGAGCAGCAGGCGATGCCAAAGCTACGGGAGCGTGTACCTGGTTTGTAATACTCTTGAACGGGTTTCTCCTCTTGTCGGATTGAGCTACCCGAGCATGACGCACCGTACTTTGCGGAATCGCGGATTTGAGCGAATCAGGATCGCGCCACGAAGCGTTCGCGCTATTCTTCTCAGATTCAATCTCTTGCACCAAACCCTGAGCCATCTTGGCAAATCTCGATCCGTGACTGGTGGACGGGGTTGCGGGTTGGACATGGATTTCGGCATTCTGTCGCAACGAAGATGTCTGCCGTTGACCTCCAGAAGAAGATCGAACGGAAATGGCAGGTTTCGCAACCGAGGTGTCACCACTCGAGCGATTTGACAGAACAGGAGGAAGAAATTTGGATGTAATGGAAGGAGACCTCAATGAGCGAGTATTGATATCAGATCGAGCTGGGACGTGGGACTGAGCACTTCGTGGTCTTTTGGGAGAGAATGCGAGCGACTGCAGGGCATCGGACAATTTCGGACGGGTAGGAGTGCCTGGCCTCGGTGAACCTGGCTCTGACAGGGAACAAGATGAGGTAAACGAAGACGCTGGCGACCTAAGTGCGGATGGTAATGAGGCATGTCCCGATTGAAGTACTCGGTCAAGTTCAGCAGTATCATCGACAACAAGTGGGTCAAAGTTGACAGTGTTTGAGGCCTAACATGACGATTGAGCGTTAGCCCGAGGAGGCAGACATGCCACGGTCAAACACAGAAAAATGGGGAAGCCACACCAGCACAGGGCCACATTTTTAGGGAAACACTCACCATAAACCGTGACTTTGTAGAATCAGCACCTAATACGCTGAAATGGGTGTTAATTCCTGCCATGATGCCCTGAAGAGGCCGATCTGGGTCGTACTCCGCGCCGCTTAGGCTGACATCCCTTTTACCTGCTCTTCCCCCGAGACCTGCACTAAGAGTTAAGGCACTGGCGTGGTGAGCTGCCGTAGACAAAGTCTCCCCCGCATATGGATTGACAGTATCATCCTGGCCATGATGGAAGGATTGGAAAGACCATGCATGATATTGGCTATGTTCCTGGGGCTCAAACTGGTCACCGGACCGATGTTCGAAAGACGCATATGCGGAAAAAGGCGACGGGGCTGAGTTATGCCTAGGGAATTCAATATCGGAAACATCTTCGTCGGGGGCGGATGAGAGGTGGAGTGATAGATCAGTGTGCTGTAAATTGTTTTCCAGTCGGATGCGATTCTGCTCGAGCTGGTCGCCACGGATACTGAGATCGAGATGGGAAGAAGGCCTTGGCATTACGAGTACAGACAGGTATCGCTGAATAGAAACCGCAGAGCGGGAGAGAGAAAGCAAGAAGGATAGGCTGCCAACGAGGAGAGTGGATGAGGGCGTTCAACTGTGGCTTCGTTCAACCTCGAGCGCGCCTGTCACGTGGCCGCGGTTTCTCAAAATTCCGACGCGAGCTAAGGCTGAGTCCTTCAGTTGCGACTGCCAGTAGATTGCGGCTACGGCCTCGGACTAGAGGCACTCCTCGAGCACTTATTCGAGGTACTTTACAGCGATATGGAGGAGCAGAAACATAAAGCGCATCATGCTTCGCAGTCCGGGTTGAAAGTAGACAAAAAGCTTAAGCCTCACAATGGCTTCAATGAGAAGGCGAGTCCTAGCTCAGCACAGTCTTGATATTTCTAATCATTTTAGAAAGGCTTTCGCTCCCAAATCTGGACGGCGTGCAGATCGCCAGGGCCGCCGTAAAGTTGAACAAGACCAGACCAGACTTCACGTTCCATTAGTTGATCGAACACCTGAAGATCAGCCTCCTCCGGTCGTTGTTGCCATCGTCGGTCCTGCTGGAGTTGGGAAAACAACTTTGTTAAAGTCTTTGGTACGTCGTCACACGAAGCAGACTCTCAACCATGTCCAAGGGCCTGTTACGGTCGTCAGTGGAAAGAAGAAGAGGATTACTTTTATCGAGTGTAATAACGACCTGAACTCTATGATTGATATTGCCAAAGTTGCGGACCTTGTACTTTTGATGATTGACGGATCGTATGGCTTTGAGATGGTAAGTTCTTCCTGTATAGACTGACTACTACCGTATCATTGACACTCCTTCAGGAAACATTCGAGTTTCTTAATATTCTTCAGGCCCACGGTTTTCCGAAGGTGATTGGGGTGCTTACGCATCTTGACCTCATCAAGAAAGCGGCTACTCTGCGCACCACCAAGAAGGCTTTGAAGAAGCGATTTTGGGCGGAAATATATCAGGGTGCCAAGCTGTTCTATCTATCTGGGGTGTTGAATGGACGTTATCCTGACACCGAAATCTTGAACCTTTCACGCTTCATCAGCGTCATGAAGTTCCGTCCTCTTGTTTTCCGCAATTCTCATCCATATCTCTTAGCCGACCGTTTCGAAGATTTGACTCCACGCGAGGAAATTCGTGCTTCTAGGGGCAAATGCGATCGTACTGTGACAGTCTACGGCTATCTTCATGGCACAAATCTGCGCATGGGCACTAGAGTGCATATACCAGGTGTCGGAGATCTTGATGTCCAGAGCATTACTACACTCGGGGATCCGTGCCCTTTGCCGGACGCAGACTCCGAGAAAAGGCGTAAGCTGAGCGAGAAGAAGAAATTGCTAGTCCATGCTCCTATGAGCGATATTGGAGGTGTCATTTATGATAAAGATGCTGTGTACATTAATGTTCCAGGCAACTTTACCCGGGGTAATCCTGACGGTAAGCACATCGCTGGTCAATGTTATATTGTAGCATGTTTCTGAAGATCTGGTTACTACAGCCGTCGAGGGTGAAGGGGAAAGGATGGTAATGGATCTACAAGACGTGGCGGACACACTCGATGGCGCCGTATCCAAAAGTCATATCAAATTATTTCATTCGTCATCAAAGCCTCTCACAGCCGAGGTGGCTACAGCTGCTGGTCATTCCAGCGATTACGACCAGTCTGACGATGAATCCTCGCTGGCTGGATCACAGTCTGACGAAGACCTGTCAGATGAAATTGAAACAGGAGACGAGTCTTCAGACGCCAAAGAAGACAATCAGTCAGACAGCGCTGAGGTGGATGACCACTCAGTAGCCGATCGCGGTCGTTCTTCTCTCCGTAGGGTTCACAGGACGATTGTCGATCCCCCGTTTCATCAACTTGAGGATCAGGACGTCCAGTTCGCAGAAAGCGACTCGGATGTAGAGGATGTGGATGACTCGAATGCCGATGCTGCCCCCATACGGTTTGACGACGTAGAGATCAGTAATGAAGAACCGGGTGTGCACGCAGTATTCGCGGAGCTCCCGCAGGCTAATCGTCGGAAAAATTGGTCGAAGGTGATTTATTCAACATCTATTTCACCACGCGATATTCTATCGGGGACAGCTGCACCACCCACAACCCCAAAAAACCTTGATGATGAAGAATTCTTTACGCAAGTCTCTACTGCACCGATCGTCACTGAGGGAGATTTTGACATGTCCAAGGAATTTGTCAATGTGGACGACTTGAGGGAGTGGGAGGATGAAGCAATGTTAGATTCTGTTCGCGGCCTCTTCATCACAGGAACTTCGCTTGAGGGCGAATTCAAAGAGCAGGCTGGAGCAAGTCAGGACGGCGATGTAGACATTGTGGATGGTGACGACCGCAGCGATGTAAACTCGGCTGTCGATGAGGCAGCACATCAAGCGACCACCCTAGCGGCGAAGAAAGCGGCTCTGAAGCGCAAATTTGATGAGCAGTATGACGACCCGGAATCATTGAAGCTGGATTTCTATGAGGACGCGAAGGGAGAAATGGCTCGACAGCTGGAGCTGAATCGCGCTGAATTCAAGGACGATGACCCAGAATCACGGGTACTCATCGAGGGCCACCGTGCTGGTTCCTATGTACGAATAGAACTGGCTGCCGTTCCTTGTGAGATGGTGGAGTATTTTGACCCATCGTATCCTCTTATCGTCGGCGGATTGCTACCGTCCGAAGAACGATTTGGATACCTTCAAGTACGAATCAAGAGACATCGCTGGTATACCAGGACGCTGAAGACGAATGATCCTCTTATATTTTCTATGGGCTGGCGCCGATTTCAGACAGTCCCCATCTATTCCCTCGACGACCACTCGATTCGCATGCGGATGCTCAAGTACACACCAGAGCACATGCATTGCTATGCAACATTCTATGGTCCCGTCGCCTTACCGAACACCGGATTTTGCGCGTTCAATTCTCTACTAAGCGATACGGCTGGATTCCGCATTTCCGCAACTGGTGTCGTTCTAGATATTGATCGTTCGACGAAAATTGTGAAAAAATTGAAGCTTACCGGTGTACCATTCAAGATCTTCAAGAACACCGCGTTCGTCAAAGACATGTTCAGCAGTGCACTCGAAGTAGCAAAATTCGAGGGGGCTAACATCCGCACTGTTTCAGGTATTCGGGGCCAGGTCAAGAAGGCACTCACGAAACCTGAAGGCTCGTTCAGAGCAACATTCGAGGACAAGGTACTTATGAGCGGTACGTGGCACATATTTTAAATGATCGCGAGGATTTGACTCATATCAGTTTAGACATCATATTTCTCCGTGCTTGGTACGCCATCGAACCGAGGAAATTTTACAACCCAGTTACTTCTCTCTTACTGTCCCAGAAGGAGTGGTCTGGCATGCGTTTGACCGGTCAAATTCGCAGGGATGAGGGGGTGAAGACACCATCCAACTTAAATTCTACTTACCGAGCCGTCGAAAGGCCAACGCGTCGGTTTAATACTCTCAAGGTACCAAAAAAGCTACAGGCAGCTCTACCTTATGCTTCAAAACCCAAACTTGTCAAGCAGCAACACCGGCGGACATACTTGCAGAAGCGTGCTGTTGTAATGGAGCCCGAAGAGAAGAAGGCCATTGCTCTCTTGCAACAAATCCGTGCATTGCGCAAGGATCAAGTTGCTCGTCGGAAAGAAAAGCAGGAGGTGCGTCGGGCGGCGCATCGGCAGAAGATTCAAAAAGAAGAGACAAAGAAAAGTGAGAAAGACAAGGAGAAACGCAAAGAGTACATGAGGGCGGCTGGTATGAAAAGCAGACGGGAATCTGAGTTGGAAGACGGAAACAGTAGACACCAGAAACGGAGAAAATTCTAAGTGTCGTTGACAGTTGGACTGATAAGGTCTCCCAATGTTTTGCAGGACTTGAATTATTATCATGATGCAACCATATACGACGAAAAGGTGCTAGAAATGTATGAACTTCACGATGCCACATATGGAGCGGCAAAATTATCTACTAGGTAGCAAATGCAGTAGCGAGGAAGTTCTCAATCTGCTTCTTGTGGAGCGCCTGCGCGAGCTGGTGAGAATACAATCCGACTATGGATTAAAACTAATCATACCTTACTGCCAGTGGCGACAGAAGATGTCGGGTCACGTCCGGCGTATAGCGGGTATTTGCCTTTGTGATGCTCAGTTTCGTTAGCCGCCGTCAAAATACGAGGCGCAACGTATGTCCAAGCGCCATTGTTCAATCCCTCCTCCTGCACGAGAATCAGTGAGTTGTGAAACTCATGACGGCAAGACATGTCTACTCGCCTGACACCAGAGCAGATCGGCGTTAGGGTACTTATCCAAGTGAGGAGTGAGCTGGCGAAGCTAACTCAGCGACAAGGATGACTCTTGAAAGGCACACGTACGAGGTCATAGGGGAATGGCGAGATCTGTTCTAACCGACTGATAGCGACGTCGTTGATCTTCTTGTCTTCCCGCTCTTGAAGGAGCGTGTGGTAAACTTGACCTGTTTACGAGCATTATTCACTGGGCTAGCTAGATATTGTAAAGGGAGACAATAATTACCGGTACAGAGAATATGACGTTTGATTTGTTCAGGAGCTACAAGTTCTTCTGGGTGCGGATCAGGTAAGTATCGCTGGAAATGAGTCTCCTCAGTCATCTCAGATAGGTCTGAGCGTGCCCTAGGATGCCGCAGAAGTGACTTGGAGAAGAAGATAATTAACTATATGCTATATGAGAACGATAGATCGTCTAGAGTAGAGTAAAACTACTTACCGGCTTGCGGAAATCACGGTGTATCTGACGACGAAGAACATGGAACTATTTACGGATATTAGCGAATTGAAGCTAGCTACTTGACACAACCTACATAGTTGGCTGGCGTTCTGTAATGCCCAGTGAATTTCTGAGTTAGATTAAGCGAATGAGACCACTCACGTTGGGTACACAATTTGCATATTGCAGTCTTGATGCTGACGTTCAATTTTCTCGGTTGTGGGGAAGTTGTGAGGGTGATCATCACACAGTTGCAAAAAGCGCTCTATCCTACCGCTAGAGTGCTCCGGACCCTGCCCGTCAAATCCATGCGGCAAGCTCATGACAAGGCCAGTACGTTGCAACCATTTCCTCTCGCCCGACGCGATAAATTGGTCGATGATACATTGGGCATTGTTAGCGAAATCGCCGAACTGAGCTTCCCAGATCGTCAGAGCATCTGGTGATACCAGCGAATACCCCAGCTCAAATCCCAAAGTGCCAAATTCCGAAAGTGAAGAGTTGCAAACGACGAAGCGAGCTTGATTGGAGCTCAAATCGTTTAGAGGAACATATTGCTGCTCATTTGCTTGATCGTGGATGACAGCGTGACGTTGAGAGAAGGTACCACGTTCGACATCCTGTCCCGATACACGTACGTGGATTTTCTCCAGCGCGAGAGACCCGAACGCAAGAGCTTCCGCGGTAGCCCAGTCGATATTGCGACCCTCCTCGACAGTCTTCCCTCGGGTATTAAGAATGCGAGCTAGGTTGCGATGAGGGGTGAACCCATCCGGATATGAGGAGATAGCTTTCCCGATGCGCTTTAGTACCTCTTCAGACGAACCGGTATCGCGCGTAGGCAATGTTTCCTCGGCCAACTGCTTAGGCGAAGGGAAGCCCTGCCATGACGCTGACAGCCATTCCTTGCTTGTCGGAACATAGTCTTTCGCTGCGCTAGCCGCCTTGTCAAGCATGCCCCATACCCATTTCTTGTGTTCCTCGATATCCTTCTCCGTGAAGGTTCCGCGATCGACTAAGAACTTGGAATACTGAGTCAGAGGAGTGGGCTGCTTCTCAATAGCCTTGTACATTCTAGGCTGAGTGAAGCTAGGTTGGTCTGTTTCATTGTGCCCGTGGCGGCGGTAACACACGATGTCGATGACAACGTCCTTCTTCCATTTGGCACGCCAGTCTGCAGCCAACTGGCAAACGAAATTGACAGCTTCAACATTATCCCCGTTCACGTGAAAGATGGGGGCATCTATTGCCTTGGCTAAATCAGAGGGATAAGGCGTTGAGCGAGCAAAGCGAGGATCTGTGGTAAAGCCAATCTGGTTGTTCACAATGAGGTGGATAGTTCCGCCAGTCCCGTAGTTGGGAAGGTTGTGGAATCCCATCGTCTCGTACACGACACCTTGGCCGGCAAAAGCAGCGTCTCCGTGGAGTAAGACGCCCATAGCAGTATTGTGGCCGGCTTCATCCTGTTCAAAATGCTGCAGGCCACGAGTCTTGCCAAGAACGACGGGATCCTCCGCCTCGAGATGAGAAGGGTTTGCGACGAGCGAAAGAGAGACCTTCTTTCCAGAGGGCGTTGGGCGTACATAGTTGGCACCCAAGTGATATTTCACGTCTCCCGCTGGGAAATCGTCATCATCTGCGGTTCCCGAAAATTCATTCAGGATTGCCTCAATGGGTTTCCGAATGACATTGGCAAGCACATTAAGACGACCGCGATGAGGCATTCCAATAGTGACATGCTTGACACCATGTTCCACTGAGCGGTCGATGAGAGCCTTCATGCCGGGAATAAGAGCCTCGCAGCCCTCAAGACCAAATCGCTTCTCGTTGGGGTATTTGCTCGCCATGAACTTCTCGAATGACTCGGACCAAATTAGGCGGTCGAGGACCATTCGTTTTTCCTCTACAGTGTAGTTCCATGGTTTGGGGATCTCAATACGTTCTCGAATCCAGTCACATTGTTCCTTGTCGGGGATGTGGATATATTGGTATCCAACGGCGCCGCCTGAGAAAACATAAGAAATAGTACCTAGGCCAAACGATAAGCCGCCACTCACAATACATGCGTTTACAAATCTTGATAATTTCGCCGAGTGCCATCGTCTTGCGGTCTTCGGTAGCGAAATGAGGTAGAATCCCGGGACCAAGGGCAATTTGCTTGTCTAAGTCGCGTTCTGTGAAGCCGTAACGGCTGAGCTCCAACTCAGGCGGATGAAGGTCATTGAGGTCCGCGTCAAGGATACCCAGTGGATCCAGGTCTGCAACGTGATGACCTCGGACTTGGTAAGCGCGAACGAGCAGTTGAACCTGCGGAATGGAAATTGGAATACAGCAAGAAAAGTCAGAAAAAAGCGAACCTTCAAATGGTCGTCAAGCTCTGCGCCACCGCTGGCATGCAGAGCAGGTGCACCGTCGGCGGGGGCGGGGACGAGGTTGGGAGGAGGCTGAAATGCCTGGGCGCTGGAAAGGCCATTGTCGAGGCCAGAGAAGTAGACATCCCAGGAGACGTGTACAGACTTGGGGTCCTGCCTCCAGTGCCTGTACATCTCTTCTACATAGTACGCATTGGTGCCATTTGCGAAGGGGTCGTTAGGTGAGGGCGGCGCCGCGGTAGCGAACGAGCGGCGAGAGAACGACGCGCGGGCGCAGAGGAGCCTATTCCCCTGCGCAGCTTGGGGCAAACGCCTAAGGACGTGTCTTGGGAGCATTGTGGGGGGAGGATGAGAGCGGTGGCAGACGGAGGCGCCACGCGCATGACGTCCGGTTTTGGCCTCGGGGCGTCGGATCCGATTCCCACATCGCCCGCGCCCCCCCTTCGTCCGTACACCAACCGAACGTCCGTCCTCCCAATGGCCTCACTCGTCCTCCGCCGCGCGTACTCAGCCGCCTCACCGTCCTCTGGCATTTCCCCGCCTCTGCGCGGAATTAAAATCCTCGACCTCACTCGCGTGCTGGCAGGACCCACTGCTACCATGCTGCTCGCAGACCTCGGGGCGGACGTCATTAAAGTAGAGGAGGTCTCCCGTGGCGACGATACCAGTAAGCCCGCTCAGCTCACCTGCCACTACAAACGTCATTACTTAGCATAGGATCCTGGCATCCCCCCTCTGCACCTGCATCCCCGACCGCGCCTGTCGAGACCTCTCACCTTCCACCTGAGTCCGCTTATTTTCTCGCCGTTAATAGGAACAAACGATCTCTCACCGTCAATTTCAAGCGCCCGGAAGGTCTTGCTATCTTGCATAAGCTCATCTGCAGATCGGACGTTCTCGTAGAAAACTACATCCCCGGAAAGCTGGCTACGCTCGGTCTTGGCTGGGAAGATTGTCAGAAAATTAATCCTCGACTGATATATACCAGTATCACAGGTGTGTTTATTATATTTTTGCCCCATTTCCCCTTTTTGAGTTAGAGCAGGCTATGGCCAGACCGGTCCTTACAGTCAAGCCGCCGGGTATGATGTAGTAATTGAGGGCGAAGCGGGTTTAATGCATATGTAAGTGGACATTCTGAATATCGGTACATGTTACTACATTCTCTACAGAACTGGTGAACCTGACGGGCCGCCTTGCAAGGTTGGTGTGGCAGTTACGGATATTGCGACAGGTCTGTATGCACATGGTGCTATAATGGCTGCGATCCTGTCCAGGCAACACACTGGCAAGGGTGTATGGATTGACTGCAATCTTTTTGAGTCACAGGTAGGCATGCACTGGGAATTTGGGGCAATACTCATAGACTGGTATTAGCTAGCAGGACTAGCAAACATTGCCTCTAATTATCTTATCGCAAAGCAGTCTGCATCAAGGCATGGGACAGCACATCCTTCTATTGTTCCTTACCAGGTGTTTCCTTGCCAAGATGGCTTTATCATGATTGGGGCAGGAAATGATAAGCAGGTAAGAAGTATACTTCAATCAGTGTGCACCTTAGGCTGAGTGGATTGATCCAAGTTTCATATACTAGCAGAACACATTCTTGATCAGCCAGAGCTTGCTGTTGACTTACGGTTTTCTACTAATGAAGCTCGTGTCAAGAACAGAGATCTGATAATCAAAGTAATCACCGATAAGTTACAACAAAACACAACAATGTACTGGCTAAATAAGTTCTCTGGATTGGGGTGAGAATATTCTATTTGGATTTTATTTATTCTAAATTATCATTTGTTAGAATTCCATTTGGCCCTATAAATAACATTGAGCAGACTTTCAAGCATCCTCAAACCATTGCCAGGGAAATGATTATTGATGTTGAGGTATATTTTTATTTAATATATTCTCTTGTTGTTTACTCTATTTTTTTTCAAGCATTCTCGTGCTGGCAAGATTCAGATTGTTGCACCTCCTGTTACATACAATGGAAAGCGTATGCCAATTCTTAGGCCCCCACCTTTTCTGTCACAGCACACTTATGAAGTGAGTAATATCATATATGCTCTATAAGATATGCTAGCTGATAAAATATAGGTTCTTGAAGAGTTAGGATATAGTCTAGCTGAAATCAGTAATCTCAGAGAACATGAAATTATATAGACTAATACTCTTTATATTAATGGTTGAGCTATTTGTTTTTGGTAAGAATGTTGTGAAGTAGCACTGTATTTTCCCCTATGTTTCTCCCTATTAGACTTTACTTTTTATGAGCATTTGTACTGTACAAAAGAAAAAAAGATTGTCTATGATTTACATATAGTTGCAAACAAGTGTAAATACAAGCTCTATAAGTGCTCAGAGTGTTTCTAATTGCCTATGATTGTCTATAAATGTTTGGAGATACTTTAAAGTGTAAATAAACATAAAAGAATGACTTGGGCTCTGTTACAGTATTAAGGGACCTAACAACTGAGGATCAGGATCAACTGTTAACTGGTACAAGGACTAAATACACGCTATTGTCCTACACTGATACTAGACTTGTAAACTGAGCCGCTATATCTGATAGTGGTTTGAGAGCGTATG